TACCTGTATAATGAGAGTGAGTGAGGGTCTCGAGGAAGTCCTACCTTAGCACTTGGACACCACAGGTGCCCCCCTGACATGAGTTCTGTGCCACACACACCATGCCCCCCCAGGAATGCCCTGGCCCTCCAAGGTCAAACAACCCTGATGCGGCCCTCAAAAAATCCAGATTGACACTCCTGCCTTAGAGGAAGAAGAAAATAAATGGAAACATGTCACTCATAGAAAAAAAACACAAACCTAGTATAAAACCCCTGTCCAATCCAACACACTCTGATGCAGCCCCACTGGTGCTAAGCAATTGATTTAATAGGCTCCCACTGGAAGAAAACATGCAGACACATAAAAAAGAAGCATCATTAAATGTGCGTGGATATTAATCTTATATTCATGGTAGAAAGGACTTGTGCTGAAGATACATGAAAGTGTTTGCTATGAAAATTAATTTGGCAGTATGTAAAGATTGTAGCAACCCAGAAGTGATAAATTTAAAAGAGGTTTTTTTCCTTCCAAATGTATTAAAATACAAAAATATTTTAAATATGACTTGCATGCAGCAGTGGCAAGGAAGAAAGAGCTATATTTTTAAAGTACTCACTTTATTTCTGGTAGTTGGGTTGAAGAAACTTTTAACTGGTATAAATTAGTGTTGTTGCCAGGATATTTCTAAAAACAATAAAGAATCCATGAATACATTATACTTTTGTATAGTGTCTGCCTCCAGAGATTATAATGGGCATAGCAGCGTAATATGGCCTGATAGGGCACAGATTATTCATTACTATTCATAGCAAAGAATGTATTGTGACTAAAACCTAACAAAATTTTAATTACAGAATGAGTAAAGTATAATAAAATTATTCAATTCCAGAAGACCAAGCTGAGGTAAATTTACTTTTTCTACAATTTATCATTTACTTTATGCCTAGACAGTTAATGTCAACTGTGACTCTTTTAATTATGCAACATTAGGATTGTGACAATGGTTAATAACCCTAATAGTAAATGTACGTTTGATCACAAAATAACAATAATAAGGACTCTTACTACTGTCAGGTTATATGAAGTATTTGAATTGTTTTCACGAATTTGAAATTTCATACTGCCCATGTAGAAAACTGGAAAAGAAGGGAGAAAAAAATNCGGAGGTTCAAGATGCAGTCCCTCCAATCCATCCTGGCGGGGATCCGCCAGGGGGACTACCTGACTTCAATAGACCTGAAGGAGGCGTATCTCCATATCCCATCCACCCTCAGCACAGGAGGTTCCTGCGCTTCTTTTATGCCGGCCGACATTCCAATACCGGGCCCTTCCATTCGGCCTGTCGTCGGCCCCCAGGACCTTCACGAAGGTTCTGGCGGTAGTGGCTGCGCACCTCCGGTGCAGTCCCATACGGCTCCAATGCTACCTGGACGATCCTCATCCAATCGTCGTCCAGGCCGCAGGCCGTACGGGACCTGCGTATAAGCATGAGAACCCTCAGGAAACAACGGGTTCTCCCTAAATCTGGAAAGCTGCCGTCCTTCCACCAGAATCAACCACCTGGGGGTGGTGATAGATTCCTCCTGTTACAGGGTCTTCCTCTCCCCAGACGGAGTAGAGGCCCTCCGTTCTTTATCACACCAGGTGATCCATGCAAGGCAGTCTCAGGTGACTCTCCTGTCTCAGTTACTGGGGAAGATGATCTCCTGCCTGTTGATTGTTCCTTGGGCCAGGCTGCACTCAGGAACTCTGCAGTGGCTACTTCTGCCCCACCAGAGGGCCAACAGGAGCAACTCGGGCATGTTGATCACCGTCCCTCCGCCTGTGAAGAGGTCTCTCCGATGGTGGACGTCACCGGCGATACGCAAAGGCCACCTCTTCAAGGAACCCGACAGGATGCTCGTTACCACCAATGCCAGTATCTCGGCTGGGGAGCACACCTAGGCCACCTCATGGTTCAGGGAAGTGGTCCGCATCGGAATCTCGCTGCAGCATCAATCTACTGGAGCTGAGAGCAGCGAAGTTGGCCCTCCGTCACTTCCACCGAGAGGTTCGTCGACGGCACGTCCTGCTGATGACGGACAACGTGGCCACCAAGGCGCACATCAACCGCCAGGGTGGCACCAGGTCCAAACGCCTGATGATGGAAGCGGAAGCCCTAGGCCGCTGGGCAGAGTGTCATCTGGAGTCCATCCGCTCAGCCCACATCTCAGGCGTAGACAACACCCGCGCGGACTGGCTCAGCAGGAAAACCATCGACTCTGCCGAATGGCAACTCAACTCTTCCGCCGTCTGACTGCCAAGTTCGGCCTGCCCCTGTTGGTCCTGTTTGCCTCCAAGGAGAACGCTGGCCACCCAGCATCTGGCTGACTGTGGCTAGCATCTGGTTGCAGCGGCATGGTCAGGCCTGGTGCAGAATCCTGGGCTGCATGACTGGAGATGCATGGGCAGCCACAGGGATGAATAGCTGATGGGCAGCTATGTTGCTCCACCGACAGAAGTTCAGCTGCCGCCCTGTTCTTTGTGCCAGCTGTGCATCCTGTTGCCTGCCGGCGCCAATCGCGAAAAGGGGAATGGGCTGCTGACAGGCAGCAGGCTGGCTCTGTCCTGATGCATTCTGTCACCGCTGCCGCAATCTTCACAGCTTTGTAGCAGTTCCATAGCTGGTTCCGCTTGTAGCAGCTCTGCTCCCCACCCCCCACCCCAGGTATGGCGAGTCCTGGATCGGGACTCGACAGGCAGCTCCCCTCTACCAGGACCGCACCTGGAAGAAAGGAGACAGATGGGTTAGGCACA